ATAAAAGCATCTCTATGAGACTAAAAGGTCAACAATTATTGTAAAGCAAAGATGAGAAGATAAGGGAGGGTAGGGCAACTAGAGTGGTAGAAACAGAACAATCTGAATGCCATTGAAGAGACAGTGACATATTGTGGAAAATGTAACAAACGTCACATAGCAGTTTGTGTAAATCACAGTGAAATATTTTTTTTGAAACTAAGTATTCCTAAGGACGAAAACAAATTAAAAATCATCTCCCCAACAACTCCATAAAAAAACCAACAAGTAGGCAAGGGGTACATATTATAGTCTGATTCAGCACCCACTCCCTTCCAGCCAACACCAAAAAGGAAAGAGAGTAGCTGAGGCTGGGGCCCCAGGGTCCCATCTGAATGATAAGACATCTTGGTACTCTTGATTGTTTCAAAGCTGGTTTTGTAAGCCAGTGTTGGATGTCATTGCAATTTACAGACACACATATTGAACGGCGGATAAATACTTACAGGAAGAATAATGAATTTAATCCAGTAAATGACCACTGCGAGACTCTAGTTATGGGATTGTCATCTAGAATTCTGATAAAGATATATCACAAGCATTTCATTACCAGAGATACTTGGGAAATAAATAAAATAAATAAATAAATAAAAGGGCTAGGACCACCGTAGCCGCCCATACACCTGCCCTATTCCTTCTGGGCCTTCCAGAACCCACTCAGGTATCCTTTTCTTTAACGTTGGTTGGACCAGCTTTTTCCTTCAAGTTTCTTCAACACACCATCCAGGCACTTACCAACACATCCCCCAATTGTCTGTCTCCTCTTTCACCTCCCCGTTCCCACTGAACATGACCATCCAAATTATGACAGTCATCTCTAGATATCTGGGGTCCAGGACAACCTACACGTGTACTGACTGAGTCTGGACCCAGTTAATGTTTTGACTGAATGAAGAAGGAACAACAAGAAAGGACTGTTAGGAAACCAAAGACTTGTTTGGTCTCATGATGTTTAAATGACATATTGAATTAAGTCCTTACAAACAAACAAATGGATGTTAAACTGTTGGTAAAGAGCTTTTGGAGTCCCTGGGTGGTGCCAATTGTGGACATGTGTGGATGCTCACTGAAGAGTGGAGGTTCAAGTCTACCCAGAGATGATTTGGAAGAATAGCCTGTGATGTACCTCTGAAAACTCATCCACTGAGAACCCTGTGGAGCACAGTTCTACTCTGACACACATGGGGGCACCATGAGTGGGATCTACTTATGAAAAATCATCCACTGAGAACCCTGTGGGGCACAGTTCTCCTCTGACTCACACGGAGGCACCATGAGTCTGAATAGAGTCAATGACACTCTTTTTCAGAGAGCTTTGTGGTTGAAAGAATGAAAATATTTATTGATGTATAGCTATCTTTA